AAGGTTCCATCCTTATAAGTGGTATGTTTGAAGTAAGAAGAAGCATGTACAATTCTTTATATATTAAAAAAAAAATAATAATAATATTAATTTGTGTGCTAATGTAAATTTTTAAAAATTAAAAAAAAAAAAAAAGAGTAATATAAGCAAAAAAGTCAAGAGCATTATTCTTGATGTTTTAACGAGAGAAACATCCACTTTATAGTCATATCAACCGAATACTGATTTGAAGGTGAAGAAGAAAAACAAATCATTTTTATAATGAAAATAATCCATATTTAATGTATTATAATCAAATTAAGATCATTTTTATAAGGACAACAATTATAAATTAATTTGTGTATTATAATCAAATTAAGATCACTATTTATATGGACAATAATCATAGTTTCATTCATGTATTATAATAAAATTAAGTTATACACGTTTCAATTTATGGAAGAAATTAGGATGCAGTCAACTGAATTTATTAATGGGAAATTTTACAATCCTTGACTCTGAAACTGGGCATTTAGATCTGAACACAACTTATTTATACATCGCAAGTATCCTCTGTTATCTTTGCAGGGCAGCCTAAATTAATAATACAAGACTTTGAACATCAAAACCAATGATATTATCTTTTAATCAAGCAATGGGATGTCTTAAGACAAAGATGTCTATACTCAGCAATAACAATTTCATCTCTGCGCATAGCTTACATGTTCTTTTTTCTTTTCTTAGCGCTCACCGGCTGCAAACTCCAGCGGAAAGTTCTGGCTGTTTGTCCACTTCTGGACTTTGGTTTTGTTCTAGAACTAGAACTTTGCATGCATATCAGTTCTGCAGATCTGACTTATATACATGCAGACTGTTGGTTCCTCGCCTCTCAGGCGGACACTCTGATTCTGAAGGAAACTCCCCTAATGAATCACCTTGCACAAATGCTTGTTATGGTGTCAGTGGGTCTATTCTTTTCTCCTCAAGAACACACTAGGAGAGATTTATCTGTGAATTGTGCCATATAAAATAAAAATTTGAGATGATCTGAACATCAGACAATGTGAACATCAGACAATCTGAACAACAGACAATGTGAACACAAGACAATCTGAACACCAGATGATTTGACGTGAGTTGATCTGAACTTAGGACAATATGAACATCTGACATCTAAACACCAGATATGATCTGAACATCTGCGGATGTAAAGCTCAAGTACCTATCTAACACATGCCATGGGCAGCGAGCTTTCAGAAAAGTAGAAGTCTGGCAACAGTCCCCATAGACTATTCCATTGGCGGCCCACAAGCCGAAGCTGAACCTGAGAGACCTAGATCCCTGCCAGCTGTAGTGTATTAGTAATATTTCTATGATGGGGCTCGAGCTTCTGGCCAGTGACTATCCCCATTTGTAACATCTATGCCCCTGAGTAAACTCTGTTGAACAGCCTTGTCATTGAGTTTGTACTTCGATACTGGGCTGGAAGAAAGTCTTTAGACCAACATTACATACAAACTTTTGTCAGGGGGCTCAATGATCTGAAAATCAAATTCACCAAACTTGAGAGTCGAAGCTCATCTCCCAGAGGGCACTCAACTAACAGAACAATCAACTCAGTTAACAAGATTAAGTCAAAACCTAGGGTCATAGAACACACACACAAAATGTGACCCTGTCGCTGTTGTTAGTTGAACCTTTGAGACAAGGGATCCTATGATGTGGGGCACGGGGTAACGGGCTACTAATTAGGCACTTTTTAAATGATCAAATCAAATGAAATAAACATCCAGACTACGCTAATGAAGTAAAACCTAGTAGAGACTCAAATAACTATGTGTGTAATGAACACATTCACACATACACAAACACACCCAAACATATGCGCGCGCTCTTGTGTAAACCTAGTGGGAATTTATGGAACAGGTGGGTGGCATTTTATTACACAGAGACTGGTCCAGAACATTTCCTACCCACACAGGGCAGCAGGCTATTTTTGGTAACTGCGGAGCACTCTAATATAGCTGTTTTATATGGTTGAACTTCCTGTGTGGGAAAAACAAGAATAGACCCAATGCCTCCCCAAAGAGCATGTCGTAAGAGTCGACTAATTAGGGGCTTCCTTTGAAGTCAGAGTTCATCTGCCTGAGAAGGAACCAACAATCTGCATACAAATAAGCCAGATCTGTAAAATGAATAGGCACACAACACTCAAGTTTCTGAAACAAGACGTCTAAAGGTGGACAAACAACCAGTACTTTCCGCCAGAGTTTATAGAAGGTGAACGCGAAGAAGAAGAAGAAGAAGATATGACAGAGTACCTGGGATCTGTTCCTGTTTCTCTGGCATCCTCTTCTTCTTAGTGTTCACCAGCTGTAAACACCGTCCTGACTTTGACCTTGTTCCAGAACTGAGTTATGCGTGCACACTCGTTTTCCACATCCAGCTTATTTAAAAGCAGACTGTTGGTTCCTCACCTCTCAGGCAGATGCACTCCAACTTAATCAGTCGCCTTTTTTTTTTTTTACATCATGCTTTTTAGGGGGCTGTGGGTCTTTCCCCCCCCCCCCCCCCCCCCCCCCGATCCCACATAGGGACAAAAGTGGCTCACTGCAGCATACAGGTTGCAGTCCTCAAAATACCTATTTTCTAAATTGTTGTCAATTCAAAAGTGAAAACAATCACAGATGATTAAGCAAACAAACCCCATAACAAATTTAAAAAGGGGCAAAAATTGTACTGTCTTTGAGGCCACACAAACTAGCATTTCCAGCTGCTGTGGATTTGGTATTTACCGGCTATGTGACCTTGCTAGCAGACGGCAGAAAAATACTAATACTCTGAATAATAACGCATAATTCCAAGGAAATTTGTATTCCTAGCGAAACCCATACAAAATATCCACCTCCATTTGTGTGTGAGGAATAATCAATATAACTACAATTAGTATTTTAAATGTTTAGCGCAATTACCTGTACAATCAACTTTTCGCAAATATATATTCTTTTCCACACCCATACCAGCAACAACATGCAGTCACTTTTACAGCAATACCAACAGTTCTTTTCTTTTAACTCACCCCATTTCCGGAAATCCAAGATTTCTTGGGGAGTTCCCAGGACAGTCCAATAGTACAGGGGTGTTAGGATGTGTGAACACCGACAAACACCAACCTTAACACATCTCTCCCCCAACCAATATCGACTTTCTTGAGAACTCCCCAAGAAATCTCAGAGTCCGACAAGATAAGGTGAACTAAAAGAAAAGTACTATACCAACTGATGTTTCTGTGTGGGACATTCAATATTCCAGACATACAGTTTAACTAACTTACATGGCAAGTTATGGATACAATGTACTTTCAAATGGAATATGGGCATTATGAAAGCCGGGTATGCTAAGAGCAGAAATAAACTTGAAAACCAAGTGACAAATGGCAAACCTGACTATCCAAAAGCAAGGAGAAGACAAAGAGATAAATCACTACATGGCATAAGCAGAGCAAGAACTCAGACATGGTCTGAGAATCTAGTGATCACGAGAGATGGTAATTCATACCTACCCAAGCTTACTAGCACAGCATATGATAACAGTGATGAGCACACTGAGATTTTAGCAAGCAGCAAAGAATGAGTTAAAGTGGCGGACATAGACCATTTCTCTTAGTTCCAGAGGGTTTAGAATCAGAGACCCAATGGGTGGTAAAGAAAGATGTTGAATCGGTGCACCTTGCGTTCATTTGGCTTCCAGGCAGGAACCTAAGAACTATGATGCCTTCCTTAGGACTGAAAGAGTTAACTCTACCAGACCGATGCCCCACTATTATGGGAATTTCCTAATCTGCCGTTAAACAGGTGTCCCCCAATGTCGGTGTTGCGTGATAAAAAGCATCACAAACTAAAAATAACCAACCAATCGTGATCAAACCACATGGTTAGTCACTGCCAATGACTGCCCACATGTGTTTTGATTTACTTTGTGCGGTTTAACGTGAAAAAAATTCTGAAAATTCACAATGAAACGAGCGGCTGATGAACCAAGCACTTCGACAGGAAAGTGTAGTAGGTCTAGGACTTTTCACAGTCTAACAGGTGATCGATACTTTGGTTGATTCAGACTCTGCGTTGTCATAATTTCATGAAGAATACATTCCCAGTTGAAGTGACACAGTCAGTAAGAGCTCGAATGATGAGGAAAATCTTGAAAATTATAAATCTAGAAATAGATCGATAGTAGAACGGGATGTGTCCCTTAAACAGCAACATCTGGTGTTCACTTTGTGAAACAAGGCTGATCCTGCTGGATAGATTGGCACACAAAGGTGGAACTTTGGCGCTAGATAAAAAGTAAACCTATTTTCTACAATATCTCTAAGTTTCATCTTATTCTAGCCCCCCGTGTGGGTTCCGGGGCCCCATTGTAGGGGAAAACAAGAATAGACCCACTGCCTACCCAAAAGCATGTCGTAAGAGTCGACTAATTGGGGAGCTTCCTTTGAAATCGGAGTGTATCTGCCAGAGAGGCAAGGAACCAACAGTCTGTATTCAAGAGAATGAGATCTGTAAAACTGATGCACACGCAACACTCAGGTTCTGGAGCAGGACTGCAGTTCAGTAGTGGACGAACAACCAGAACTTTCCGCCAGAGTGTACAGCTGGTGAACGTGAAGAAGAAGATCTGATTCTAGCCACTTGTTTGCATGTAACTAACATTTTTGTATATTATGTTGGTGTTTTCGCGTTAATGCCCAGGAATAGGGGGCAGTTAGGTTCAGGGCCTCAGGTTTAGTAGGGTTAACTCTACTACAATCTACAAATTTGAACGTTAAATATGCTGCAGCTTGAAGCTACCTAGCCACCCACCTTGAAAATACCCACACCTATTCAGAAACAGCCCCCATTTTCAATCCTACATCCACACACAAATAAAATAAACTAATTAACAAACAATAGGAGTGAACAGTATTCTTTTATCTCATACAACAAGCAACAAATGTTCAAGCGTGACTTCAACAAATCACATTATTTAAACTCAAACCCTCCGTAACTCTGCAAGTGTGGAGCCAGCCCTGCCCTGCTTGGCCGCCCACATTTCCTGGCCAGGTCCTCGTAGGTGCCTCCGTGGAGAAAGCATACCAGTATCACGGTCATATTATCACAGCCTAGGCCGCCAGCCTGGCAGTCCGGAGCCAGACAGCGATTCATCAGTTCCTCGCAGATCTAAGAAGAAATTAAATGTATAAATGTATTGGTTTCTTGTTCAGACATTTAGTATCGATCATCTTGTTTTTTCTCCCATGTGCTATAAGGTTGCTGTTGCTTTTAGTAATCTGTCTCTTTGCAGCTATGAGTGCAGACAGATTATTAACAGCATATTCATTCCAACATTAAGCTACCAGTGCCAAACATGGACACTATCTAAAATCCATATACGCAAAATTACCACCTTCGAGATGAGGTGCCTGAGAAAAGCAGCCAACGTTACTATTCGAGATCGAGTGAATAATCTTCTTCTTCTTCTTTCGTTCGCATGAAATAAATTGTCTGCAAAGCCGTCTCTTGTATGAATTTCACTGTCTTTTGTAATTCACTAAGCGGCCCGTAAAGTTTGACTTCCACAAGTGTCTCTTTTGGCCAAATGTTTTGCGTGAAAGCGTTGAATATGGGACAGTCTTGAAGGATGTGATCTGTTGTTTCAGGTGCCAGTCCACAAGTACACATGGCCGATTGGCCAATCTTAAATTTGTTGTACATGTGGGAGCGAAGTCTATTGTGCCCTGTTCTAAGGCGAAGGATAATAACTTGCTCTGGTCTGTCCATAATATGGTAATCATCTTGTGCCAGTTTCGGTGGCATTCTGATTGATTTGATCATTCTCTTCTTCTGTTGATAAGAGACTGGTATGTCAGGTTGTTCTTCAGTTGCACCTTCCTTAGCTAGTTTATCAGCTTTTTCGTTTCCGGGAACTCCACAGTGGGAAGGTATCCACTGCATTACTAATTTACAGCGGTTGCCTAGTTCGGATAATAGTGTCCGTATGCTTGGTAATTTTCCAGACTGGAGTGACTGAAGTACTGCTTTTGCATCTGTCAGGAATACCACTGGTTGTGAAAAATACCCTGTATTTAGTAGTTTCTCTACCGCTATCTTGATGGCTTGAACTTCTGCATCATAGTTGTGACAGTGCTTTCCCGTTGGTAATTTGGCTGTCTCCCTGGTATTATTAGGATACTCAATGTACACTCCCGCACCTCCGTTTCTGACTGCGCTTTCTGCTGACCTATCTGTGTAAACACGGACCCAAAGGTTCTGCGGGTATTCATCATCAAGTAAACTGAGGGTGGCTGTTTTGCGCTGCACACTGTTTTGTTCTTCCTTGTCAAATACCCCTTTCACTTCAGTCTTGATGTGTATTGGAAACTTATACTCCTCTCTCCAGGGGGTCCGTTCTGGGACAGCATTTAAGGATCTATCAGTTGCAGGTAAATCAGTGGTTTGTCTGCCGAGCCGTTTGGCCTGGTGGATAAAACTACTTCTCTTTAGTCGTTCCAAAGCTAAATTTTTGAATCTTTCATTCATAGAGTGACTGGGCATACTAAGAAACTTTTCTGCTTGTAAAAGCATCTTGGTGTCTCTGCGTTCACTTAGTGCTTGGGTCATCCCCATTTTCTCCATCACAGCTATAGGTGTTGATTTCATACTGCCTGTGGTAACTCTGAGTGCTTGATTTTGCACTTTGTCTAATTCTTGCAATGTGGTTTTTGATGCCGAACTCCATGCTGTTGATCCGTATTCAAGATGTGGTCGAACACTTTGTTGGTAAACTTTTCTAAGTATTTTCCCGCTAGCACCCCATGTGGTTCCACTTAGTTTTCTCAGAATGGCTACCCTCCTTCTGGCTTTGGTTGCTGCCTTGTGATGTGTTTTCTCCATGTTAATCTATCATCAAACGTTACGCCGAGGTATGTGGGATCCTTATCCTCTCTCAGGGGTACTCCATTTATGTGCATGGCGCCTGATTTTTGTTTAGGAGAAAGGGTAAAGAGAGTGGTGCTGCATTTGCCTATGTTGATGCTGACACACCATTTGTCGGCCCATTTAGCCATTGCATCTATGGCTCTTTGTAGCAGTCTGGTGGCCACTGTCGCATTTTCATTTGTACACCAGAGTACCAAGTCATCAGCATACATTGCAGCTTTAATTCCATGGGGTAGTTCAGAAAGCAGGTCGTTGATATAGACTAGGAAGAGTGTGGGGGACAGGACACCTCCTTGTGGGACGCCATGGCGCAGCAAAACTTTCTTGCTCTTAAGTCCATCTATCTGTACTCGGGATCTTCTGTTATACAAGTATGCTTTGACCCATTTGTACATACTCCCATTCACCCTGCAGTCTCTCAGTTTCTTCAGTAGACCTTCTTTCCAGACCTTGTCAAAGGCTTTCTTCAGATCTATCCATGCCGTTAGCACTAGCTTCTTTTCCTGGAAAGCATCCTCAATTTCTTGTGAAAGGTAAGTTGTCTGGTCTTCTGTGGAGTAGCACTGTCTAAATCCTGCCTGCTGCGGCGTGAAAATGTTTGAATAATGAAACTTATCAGACAAATTGTGGGAATGACACCTTGTACCAGATTCATCGAGAAACAGCAGATCAAGTGGTTTGGCCATCTTGTTAGAATGCAGCAAGATGAAATACCATCATAAGCACTAAGTCTCAGAAGATCAGCTACAAGAGCTATAGGACAGCATAAAAATATGAATCGACAATATTAAAGACACTACGCCTTCACGGCATGACAATAGCCAGTGGCCGCCTACGTGCACTGAATCGCAAATTATTCCTCCCAACGACGCTTAACGGCAGAAGTGGTTTATGATGATGATGCCATAAGAGGGAGGTTAGATGTGGCTTTTCCTCGCTGCACAGCTTGTGTTAGTGACAAATTGTGTTTCTCTGGTGTCTCTTCTAGAATCAATCATGACAGAAGTGGACATTTTAGAAATCTTCAGAAATGATCGCTACGCTAGAAATCAACTTCATGTACAGCTGATTATTATGGTAGAAATGGCCAATGCCAAACGTTTTGTTAAAGAAATCTTCTCTCTTTTTTTTTTATCATTCGCCTGCTGTATATCTGCTGGAAAAATATGGCTGTTTGTCCATTTCTGGACTTTACTTTTGTTCCAGAACTTGAGTTTTGTGTGCACATCTGTTTTACAGATCTGGCTTATCTCTATGTAGATTGCTGATTTCTTTTCTTAGGCAGATGCACTCTGACTATGAAGGAAACTTCCTAATCAGTCGCCCTGTACAACATGCTGGGTGGGGGTGGGGGGGGGGGGGGGGGGGGTGGGGGGGGGGCAATGTAGATGTCAAAAAAAAAAAAAAATGCTCGTTATTCTAGAAGTCAACATCTTAGAAATGGTCAACATTTTAAAAACACTTAGAAGCAGGGCCCTTTTTCCTAAAAAAAATAAATTTTAAAGGTGACAGTAGTCACAATAAAGTGTTTCTCACAGAGCGCTAAAAATAAATGGTGCCTAAAGCAGGTGACAGTGACAACACCAACTCACAACATCTGGCTCCATCCGTTGCGCTATCCGGTTCCGGACAAATTCCACAGCCTCCTGGTTGGTGAGGACATCCCAGATGCCGTCACAGGCTAGAAGAAGGAACTCATGGTCTGGAGTAATCGGCTTCTCTATCACATCGGGGTTCGCTGTGGACATACCCAATGGTAAAAAATATACAGAGGCATTTTCACTGCAGACATATTTGAATATACAAAACTATAGGTATTTTCTGTGTCGGCACACGAACTGATACATGCTGCAGGAGATCGCAGATTATGGAGAGGCATGATCGCCCACGCCAGTCAGCAAGGCACCTGATGATGATGATGATGATAGGTATTTTCAAGATGCAAAGTGAAACAGCTATTGGTGGAGTAAGACTGACAAAGATAGGGAAACGAGAGAGATATTAAATTATGAATACATAAGGCTAAAGGAGTTTTCATAACACTAGAAAATGTGTGGAAGCCAAAGGAATGAAAGCTAACACTAAGCCTAAAATGATTTATTCTAATGTCAAATCAGCACTACTGTCTGCAGCGAAAACATGAAGAACAACTAAAACAATAACTGCCTGGAATAGAGGGCATCAAAACGTAGAAAGAACCACTGGTGTTGAGCTTTGGAAAAGAACTTTAGAAATTCCAATGAATTATGAGGTGAAGAAAAGATGCTGGCATTGGATAGGACACATATTGAGAAAACCTGAGAACAATATTATAACTAGAATGTCTTTGCACTGGAACCAACAGGGGCACAGAAACAAAGACAGACACACAGAGAGAAAACACGGACAAGGCAGCTACAGAGTGAAGTTAAAATGATAGGAAGGACAAGGGATGGGTGAGCTGTATGCAATAGCAAAGGATGACTCGGTGTGAGTTGGTTGAGGGCCTATGCTGCATTGCGGTATGAAGGGCAGGAGGAGGAGGAGGAAAAGAAGCATTTTCATCGTGGACATATTGAGACTATATGCATTATGTTTGAGAACAGAGTCTCAAGACAAATCTTTGGACCCATCAAAGATGAAAACCAGGGTAAAAAGGAGTGTGAGAAGTATCAAAGAATTTGGAATCTGTTTAAAGCACTGCTAATTATTTTCATCCTGAGGTCTAATAGAATGAAATATTTGGGGCATACAGAGACAATGGCAGATAACAGAGTGATGAAAACTGCTTACCTGGAGAGAAAAGAAAAAGTTGGGGAAAAAAGGGGAGGGTGGGTGTTAGACCATAAGGCTTAACAATAATACAGTGGAGAAATAATTTACCGACAGATATACAAAAACCTGGAGAGGAACCAAACTGGGAGAAAAAAAAAAGAAGGCCAATCACAGAAAGGATGAAGGCTGGTGATATTTCCAGCAAAAAGATGATGATCATCATCATCATCATGTAGAAGGTCCGTCGCAGAACATCGCTCTCATCGCGGTCTGCCTGAAAGAAACTCGGTTTCTCGATGGCTCTCCTGCCTCATGTACTTTCACACTCACGGAGTCACCCAAATCCTGTGCCCATCTTTGTGTTAGTAGGCCCCTGTCCCTCTTTTCTGTTACAAGCCTTTTGCTTTTATTTTTCCGCCTTGGTGTTTGATATGGTTAAAATATTCCAGCTTCTGAGACAAGATGCTGTTTATTAGCCAATCTTCCTTGATGTTCAGATCAAGAAAAAGAGGAAAAATAATTATAAATGCAGTGCAGAGTGTGGATTAGACAAAAATCTGTAAGAAAAAAAAAACTATAATAATTAGTATTGGAAAGGAAAAGCTATAGAAAAACCACAATTCTTCAACCATGGAACTGTAATAATAAATAATGACACAAGTGAAATAGTAATAAATAAGAATGGAAATTGCCAAAAAGACTCAAGTGAAACATAAATAAAAACAAAAAGAAAGGGCCAAAATTATTCTGAAATAACAAGCAGAAATTATTATGTAGAGAGATAACAGCATGAGAATTGTCAAATGTTTGTATATATTCATTCAACCCTTATATACAGTGCAGAAATCTGGACAATGAACAATTATAAAGTTGACCTGATTCAGTGGATACTCAGAAGAATAGGTCAAATGTTTTGGGAACCAACACAAAAAAACCAATCAAATTAAAAGGTTCTGAGGCAACGAAGAATGAGAAAAGCTGTTATTAAAACAAACTTATACAAATTAGTAAATTTAAACAAATTAGTTAAACTTAACTAAAATGAGTACACTAGCCACAAATGACTAAACAATTTGCTAACTTACTACACAATTAGTAAACTTACCAGTGACTATTTGCTCTTCTGGCCTCTTTCTGTCATTCTTTTTGAAAACAAAATCCCCTAATGCTCTAGATAATGCAAGATTACCTGAAAGAGAATCAAATCATATCAAATGATTTTTTTTTTAAATTGCACTTGTGAAATGAATAAGACAGCAAGTGAAATGGTTTGCCCACTTAGAGAGAATGCCTTGTGACACTATACCATACAAAGCATTCATGGAAAGAGAAGAAGGTCGTAGAGCAAGAGGTAGACCAAGAACAAGATGGAAGGATAACATCAGAGAAGCTCTACAACAGCACGATGTGCCTATGGTCGAGGCGGCCAGAAGAGCCAGAAACAGAACCTTCGACACCCACAGCGGTAAAAGAGGAAGTGAAGAAGAAGAAGAAGTGAACTGAATATGTCTGTGAAACGATTTGATGACAAATGGCTTCACCACTTTACTACAGAAATCCCCTGAAATAGCACAGAAACAACAAGGGTCATATTGACTGCTATTCTTTAAAAAATTAAAAAAAAAAAAAAAAAGAGAAAAATTCATTTTTGTTCTTTGGGATGTGTGTTTGTGCATATTTTTTTTTTCAAATTCAGGAAGATTCACATCTGTCTGTGCTTGCTAATGGTCAGAATTGATGTACACGCAAAACTGAGGTCCAGGTAAAAGCCAAAAGTCTAAATGGACGAACTACCTGACGTTCCACCGGAATTCACAGCCGGTGAACGAAGAAGAAGAAGATCAGAATTAATTTTTTAAATCCTGTACACTGTAAGAAAGAAGACCTGACATCAGCCTGACCTGGAGAAAATATCCAAATGATGCTAACTACGTGAAGCTTCCCTTGCCCCTCTGCATACAGCATACTTCACCTTTCTTTCTCAACCTGCTCTGTGAGTCAGTTACAATTACAACATGTGTGTACAGCTGGTTCTTTATTATACAGGTGTAATGCTTCGGTAAAAAATGTTTTCTGCATATAAAGTTAGTTGCGTGTCCTTGACAGGTGTCGCATGACAGAATACACACAACTGCCGCATTGGGCAGGTCCACAGTCTGAACACTCCCAAAAACGTCATTGTAACTATGATATAGGATATGCCGACCGTAGTTATATAGTTCGTTTGTTGTGGGGGAGTCCAGATAAGAAAAATCCCTATAACTCACTCTTAAATTGATTCTTTTAGGCTTTTAGTGTCAATTTACACGTTAGGACACATTTCGGCTCAAAATTCTCTGAGAATTCTTCGAGCCGGCTTTCTAAACCTTTTCGGATCAATCGATCCACATATCTAGAGTGTATTTATGGTATTGTTAACTTTGTTTGATTAGTTGTTTTCTTTTATTCGGTCTCTGAACTTGGTGAGTCCTTGAACCGTTTGGAAGGACAAGAGGCTTCGGGTCAGGCATGACGTCATATCCGCTGTTGCTAGGAGCTATCGTAACCACAACAAGCTTAGACTGTCGTAATGCATATTTCCTTCGATCTTGGTTTTGTCTTCATCTCCTATACCTTATCTTTTCAATTAGTGAAAAGGGTATATTTAGAGGGAGGGGAAATGATAGAAATCTGTCTGGCTTTAGCTACAGGACTGAATTCAGAAACTATTCGAGTTAATGGAAACGTACGTACGACTCTGGTGCTCACTCTGGGAAACTGAACGGATTCCAAGATAGAGGTAGCCAACCTTCATGGTTTGGACTAACCTCAAGTATATCTGAGCATGGGGAGGTGGTAAGGACATTGATTAACTAGGTGCGTTGGGTACGGTTCGCTCATGGGTGTTGCCTTGTGTTTTTCAGGATGTCTGAAGATCCAGCAGGCGTCCGTGGCATTGGCATGATCTTCCACCCACCAACACCGGGGAAACAACTGACCTGAGTTGAGCAGCCATCACCTAGTATGCTGTACTGTCCGTGAACCATATATCCACCGGTCTCTGGGAAGTGAATGTCCTTGATCATTCTCAGAGGTATCATCAAGAGTACGGAGTTCTTCTGAGAAGTGAGACTTTGCAGATTTCCAGCTTTGGGCATCCTGAGGAGCGGCAGGATCCTACCAGATAAGTCCCAGTAACACTTGGTAGCGGCTTGACTCCAGATGTGCCTTCATAATCTGTCTCATGCCTCCTGACCATGATGATCCCGGAATTGGACATAACCCTTTAGAAAGACTTTATCTCTTTCTTTGACTCTCCTAAGAATTGAACATTCATTCTAGTTCTTCGAGTGACTTTTATCTTTCTTGTTATGAAGTAATGAATACATAATTGAAGTTGTGGTTCACCGGGCTTTCTGTTCTTAGAAAGATATTCATGTCTTGTAATTTCCACTGTTGTCTTTATATTTGACTGTGTTTACATTGTTTACCAGTCTGGGGGCAAAATAGTGATGAGGACGTCTGGCCGAGAGGTACTCAAGTGTTCATAATAACCCTGTGGAGTCAGAGCTCGTGTCACCTCATCCCTGAGACAGGTTGAATGGAAAGTTTGAACCGAGGGTTAGGCCTCTAGACGAACGAGAGCCACCATTCAAAACACCCCTGTCTCAGAGCACCTGAGGGATTTGTGAAAATATTCCGTAAGTAAAGGTGCGTGACAAAACTGCCATACGACAGCATGATGCTAGAGAAACAACCACAGCATTTTTTGGCTTTTGTGGTTTTTCTAGGCAAATTTACATCCAGTAGTTTGCCACTGCTTTCTGGACGGTTGGCTTCTAGATACCATTTTCAAAACCAATGCAAGGCGCGCAGCTGAAATCGAACCGTCACCTCAGCATTACGAAGCGCAATCACAATGCATAAGCCACAGACGCTGACATTTCTGCATATTAGGCTTTTTAATCAAATATACTCACAGTGTGGGACCTGCAGCCCCATTGTGGGGTAAACGAGAACAGAACCACTGCCTTCCTAACAAGTATGTTGTAGGAGTTGACTAATGGAGAGCATCCTTCGAAGTCAGTGTACATCTGCCTGAGAGGCAAGGAACCAAGAATCTGCATACAAATAAGCCAGATCTATGAAATAGATGTGCATTCAACACTTCTGGAACATGACTAAAGTCTGAGGGTGGATGAACATACAGAACTTTGCGCCGGTGAAGGCAAAGAAGAAGAAGAAGAATCAAATATACATTGTGACCCAACAAGGAAAGGCAGCACACAAGTGCTCCTAGTACTCACCATTGACCCTGTTGAACTCCACCCATCCTCCGGCAGCTATGATTCTCCTGGTCTCGCTCTCATTACTTGGCTTGTGGTCAAATGACAGCTGCTCCACTTCCCCATGAACACAAGCTACAGCTCTAGAGTCTCCAACATTCCCCTGCAAAAGACAATTCTCAATCCAACATCAATCCACACAAATAGGCATTTTTAGTCCATCATCTTTGCTGAAAATGTACTGCTAGGTATATTTTGCTATTTAAAGGTAATCATGCATCATCTTTGCTGAAAATGTACTGCTAGGTATATTTTGCTATTTAAAGGTAATCATGCATCATCTTTGCTGAAAATGTACTGCTAGGTATATTTTGCTATTTAAAGGTAATCATGCATCATCTTTGCTGAAAATGTACTGCTAGGTATATTTTGCTATTTAAAGGTAATCATGCATCATCTTTGCTGAAAATGTACTGCTAGGTATATTTTGCTATTTAAAGGTAATCATGCATCATCTTTGCTGATAAATTATTGCCAGGTTTACATTTCTGTGCATGTATTACCAGGTTTACATTTCTGTGCATGTATTTTTTCTAACTAAAGAAGAGTCAGCCAGGAAAAAACAGTTTTCACTGCACGTAAAAAATCCCTTGACAGTTGGAAATCGAAAAGACTAGCCTAACGGCACTGCCCAGGCAAAATTTGGAGTTTAAAATCTGCCCAAAGTATTTCAGGATCCTTGCCGGTGCAACGGAATTTGTGCACTGCGCTGAGATTCTTCAGACTCGGGCTTAAGTTAGAAGCAGAACAGAGCACTTATGGGCTACAACCGTGTGTCATGATGTTGATGCGTCGAATAAATGTAAACTATCGATATTGTCTGAAATGATTATTCCAACTTAAACCAACATCAGAAGAGAAATACATTCTTTCAGGCCATTGTGAGAAGATGAAGACTGGAGTGTGTCGTGATGATAGGGAACGTTGTGTGGACAAGAGACACAGAGGTACACCAAAATCAGAACTAAATAGTTGGACAGTTTAGCATTTAAAAACATCTGTATTTGAAACTACCGACGACATGTGAGACAAAGGGAGCCGCCATGCTGCAGCGGCCAGACGCGCCTGCAGATCCAAAGGTCATGGGTTCAAATCCGAACAGAGATGGACTTTTTTGTCGAGTCAGCCTTAACTAGGTACCAGGTAAGGTCCTGGGAATTAAACGTCTGACCACATCACCCATCTTGTGCCGACTGGTCTATAAAATATAGATCTAGCCCTATATGCCTAAAGGCCTGGAAAAAGGTCCTTTACTTTTTTTTTTACTTAGTACAGAAGAAAAAAACAAAATCACAGACACCAGCTCACACACAGAGGAATCAAGTGAATAACTATAAACTATAAATGTATATAAAAGAAAGAGATGTGAAACAAAACATAAATTAATGCGACAAAAGGTCACAATAAAAATAATATAACGGTAATGATGATGATAATAATCTTCATCATTTGCCTATTTTGCCATTTTATTTACGTCCCATAGGGCTCAAAGTCTATTCCTTCATTCCGTTCTCCCCTGAATAACAATAATCTTTTCTCTACTACTGGAATTCCTTGCGGCATCAGGGCAGGAAGAGATATCTGCAACAGGCTCTTCTGTTCGCTTCCTATATAATAACAATAATGAAAGATGGGGATTGGGGGATGTTTAGTAAATCAATTGATGATAGCTTGACTGCAGTTACCCCTATTTTTCTTGTATTCCTAGCTAACTAATTTTCCTGACTTATGCAGCCACCAACAAGTGTCCTTAGGTCCGCCCCTGAACGGCTATTTCACTGAGCTACCAGAAATGATACTGTTCAGCAACTTACACAGTACATTTTCCCATTCTTGATTAACACAACCACAGCAGTTGTGCCTGCTAGTTCATCTTTCATGGTCTCATCTGTGAAATAGATGATGATGTTTTCTGTACATACATGAACATAGAGGAATGACTACATGCATCAACACACATGAACAAATACTTACTTGAACACACATGAATGAATATTTATTTGAACATATAAAAATGAATGTTTACATGAGCACATGAATGTACATAAATATATGAATTTCTACATAAGAATTAAGATTTACTTGAATACATATTAGTGACTACATACAAGAAGACATGTATGAATAAATATACACATGTGCACAAAGTCTCTATACCTTTACTGCAGAATGGGGCTCTAAGAGAGCAATAACACTTAGTACAAGACTCTTTATGGGAGTCGTCGCGGCATAGCGGATAGACGCTTGCGTGCAGTTCGGAAAGTCGTGGGTTCACTCCCTGGCAGAACCAGACTTTTTTTTCAAAATGTCCTGGACTTGAGTAGGTACCGGGTGCAGTCCTGGGAAGTAAAGGCAGTCGGCGTGATGCTTACCACATCATCCATCTTGTGCCGACTGGTCTATAAAAATATAGGTCTAGCCCTATATGCCTAAAGGCGTGGAAAAGGGACCTTTACTTTACTTATAAGACTCTATGTCTTCTAGCCTCTCTTCATGAAGCCTACCTCTCCTTCACGTGGTGGACTCTGTTTTTCTGAGTAATCCTGTGAAAATGTGGGGTTTCAACCCCTTCCTTTTAGGAAACTAGATGGGACAACACAGAGGGTGACATCTAGTTCCCTCACCCAGCTAAGCTAAGTGTAAGATGTGATATATTTTGTAATGAAATAGGGCACACAAAATCTAATACAATTCTAGTGACTCTATTGCAGTATGAACGGCAGCAAACAATCCTGTAATAGGGCTGTAACAGACATAAATGGAAACTGCCGCAGCTGTCACTGACCGAAAAAACGTGTACAACAGCGTTCCAAACAACATGCTCATCAGACTGATGATGGATATGCATACAGAGAGGAAATTGGGTCGACTGGATCGCAGCAGCACTCTTCGAAAAAAACAGTGTCGCTGAGATGCAGTACGCGGGCATCGGAACCTCTTAATGGGTGTCTTGATGGGCTTGCCCCAGAATCACCACTGTCTGCTGTTCTCTTTACTGTGTACACATCATTAGTCACCAGTGCAGAGAGTCGGTCTGGTCATTCACAGACAATATCCTTGTGTACCGACGGGGAAGCAACAGACATGAAATCACAATGCTACAGCACGAATTAGAACGACTCAGTGAGTAATGCCAGGAATCAAGCCCACAGTTAAACCCGGCAAGGCTTCCCTAACATGGTTCTATTTGAATACCCACACTGAAATTACAGCTATGCCAGTCGTGAGCATGTGTGGTTTAGACATTCATAGAAAGAACACAATGAGATACCTTAGCAAAACTTTTGACAGATGCTTGTCATACAAGAATCACGTAAATGTCACAGACAGAGCCAGGAAAGGTCTGACGCCGTTGAAGGCGATGGCGTACACTGACAGTAAACAACACCTATCTGGCTCTATCAGGGGCTTGTGCTATGCGTTATAGACTACGGTCTGGGCCTCCTCCCTGACAGCAGAACCCAGCTAGATAGGCTGGATTACGTGCAATATGAGGCCAAGAGTCTCACACTAGGCTGGACAGAAGACACTTGGCACCACGCCATGCGACATGTCCTGAGTTTGCTGATGATGGCCACCAGACATAAAGTGGCACAGGTAAAAGCATAGATGAGGACATCAGCAGACATCAACCACCTACTGCACAACGCCAATCAATGATATAAAAGGAATGCGCCTCAAAAAAAAAAGCTCCTCCTAGATGGCCGAGACAGAAAATCTAATCCAGCTAGCATGTGACCTAGACGAGATCAGTCACAGAAAAGAATGGACGGATACATCAGTAGACATGCATGACATGTAATGGTTGTTATGACACTGGGAAGGTATTGCAACATTCAGATACCTGCCACCGTAGACACTGAGATTAGGGATCTGACTCATGTGAACAATCAACTGCGGTACCTTGGAGTGGCTGCTGCACTGGAGGACCGACACTCATGGGGATGTCCAATGTGCAAAAGATGTTGAATGTGATAACATAACTGTAAGCTGTGGATTTCACATAGAGTGCTTTATTTCTTCTTTTTCTTCATATTTTCTGTCAGAAAAAAACATCAGGAAGCCAGTAACTTTGATAAAAGCTAACGTGGACTCCAAATCTCCCTCTGTGTCACACAGCTTTGCTCTGACTGAGGTTCCAACAGGCCAGACTGTTTCTCTGTTAGCAGCATACATCTGACAGTGCTGGAGTACACGCTCGGCATTACTGTGCCCCAAGCTAGTATGACACAGACAATACAGTATTACGACATGAACAGTTATAGATCAATAAAAATTCAACACTTATCAGTTAAAGACAAACCACAAAAAAGACACAGACAGTAGAAAAGCACCAACATACCCTTCTGCATTTCCTCGTCAAGCGCCAGGAAACCCTGTCTGATGGCATCTGTTATGTTGCCCTTATCTGAGATGAAAAAACAAAAGGAGCGATTAGGTGCACAAGGATTCAACAGTTTTAACCACAGCAGTGGTTTGCAACTTTTTCAGGTGGTGCCCACCTTGACAAATACTGACACTGGATGTTATGAACTTTATAGGAAACTCTCTGGAAAGGAAACGTGATGAAGAAGTGGGCTGGTCACCAAATATTTTTTACGTCACACTTTAGCAAATCTGCTAGCCTAACATTTCAAGCTTCAGCCTTTTACCCAGAGAAATCTCATGTACCCTTTTTGTTAATGAACTTTTCGTGTGGGCTCCAGGGCCCAACTGGAGGCGGGAGAGAAAAGAATAGACCCCCACTTGGCCAAGCAAGCATGTCCTAAAAGTTGACTGCATAAGAATGTTTCCTTTAAAGTCGGAGTGCACCTTTCTGATAGACGAAGGGCACAATAGTCTGCATACAAATAATTTATTTTACAGGTCTGTAAAAATGATTGTGCAGGCAAAAGTCAAGCTCAGGAACAAGACCAACGTCCATAAGTGGGCAGTAAAAAGCAGAACTTTCCATCATAGTTAATAAATGGTGAACATGAAGAAGAAGAAGAAGGAGAAAATGGATAAATCCTAGAGCAAGGTTTCAGAATCATATCAATAAACTTTTTTTTTAAATTAAAGTATCTGCCATTTGAAGCTGCATGGATATTCATAACCACAACCTGTAAGTCATTAGTGGGGATTATCATCCGGTTAGATCCATTATCATTAATCAGCAGGTCCTTTCGAGAATGTCACTCTCATCATGGCACACCTGAAATTCTCTTTTTCTCTAGCCAATTCTCCAGCCCTATGTGCTTTCATAGCTAATGCATCTTTAATGTCGTACATCTGTGGAAGTCTGCCTCTATCACCATTCTCTCCAGGCCACCAAGATGTTTAACATGGCCAAAACACCTCAGCGTTTAGATCAGGATGCCTTTTATGACAGATATGTATAAATCCATTCATGCTCCAATCTCCTCTTCAATATACCAAATGCATAAAATTACTAATAACTCCTATTGTGTGTTGATTAATTATAAAAGTCTTGTGCACTTGGTGAAACATGCAACTCTGGCAGCTCTGAGTTGCACCCTCATATCCATCCTCCTGGACAGGGATACAGAGCCAGGGTTGCACCCTCATATCCATCATCATGGACAGGGATACAGAGCCAGGGTTGCACCCTCATATCCATCCTCCTGGACAGAAATACAGAGCCAGGGTTGCACCCTCATATCTATCATCCTGGACAGGAATACAGAGCCAGGGTTGCACCCTCATATCCATCATCATGGACAGGGATACAGAGCCAGGGTTGCACCCTCATATCCATCCTCCTGGACAGGGATACACAGTCAGGGTTGCACCCTCATATCCATCCTCACGGACAGGAATACAGAGCCAGGGTTGCACCCTGATATCCACTATTCCGGACAGGAATACAGAGCCAAGGTTGCACCCTCATATCCACCATTCCAGACAGGAATACAGAGCCAGGGTTGCACCCTGATATCCACCATCCTGGACAGGAATACACAGCCAGGGTTGCACCCTCATATCCATCATCCTGGACAGGGATACAGAGCCAGGGTTGCACCCTCATATCCACCATTCCGGACAGAAATACAGAGCCAGGGTTGCACCCTGATATCCACCATTCCAAACAGGAATACAGAGCCAAAGTTGCACCCTCATATCCACCATTCCGGACAGGAATACAGAGCCAAGGTTGCACCCTCATATCCACCATTCCGGACAGGAATACAGAGCCAGGGTTGCACCCTGATATCCACCATTCCGGACAGGAATACAGAGCCAGGGTTGCACTCTGATATCCACTATTCCGGACAGGAATACAGAGCTAGGTTTGCACCCTCATATCTTTCATCCTGGACATGGATATAGAGCCAGGCCAGCTGCCATAATTGTCTCCACAATATAGAGCACAACCTGTTAAAGAACAGAAGCTGATTTTTTCTTCTTCTAAAAACAGCACAAACAGTAAAAGTCAACTGATAAACCACAAATAACACAGAACTTACAGTAGGCTGGCTGTGAGATAATCTTCTTATGTAAGCTGTTGCCGGTATACTGGGCCACCCTGACACCTGCAGAGTATTCAAGTCGATGTTAGTTTTATAACTGTCTTTACTGCTGTTTGAGGCACCACTCTTTGCTGGCTGCTGGGAGGTGAGGATAGAGCGCTTGTGGGACTGCCCCAAGTGCTGTGATGTCAGTTCTTAGCTCAACACATACCAAACAATTTACCTATTTTAGGGCAGTGTAATACTGGAGGGGGAGGGGGTGTCATGAACCTGAGGATTTAGGGAGTTAGGGCAGCAAGGGCTAGTGCGCTGACCACAAACTGTGCAGGTTAGGATGATTATCCTAGTCTTTGACAGAAAGGGTGGTGCAGTGGTAGATGCTCACCTGTGGATCTAAACGTCATGGCTTCAGGTCCTGACATAACAGGACTTTTTTTTTTACGACATTGGCTCCAAGATCAACCCAGCCCTAAATAGGTACCAGGTAAAGTCCTGGGAAGAAAAGGCGGTCGGTGTGATGCTGAACACACCACCCACTGAGTGCCAATGGGTGTATAAAATATAGGTCTAGCCGTATATAACTTCTATCTACAGCTTTCTTTCTGTTTTTGTATATGTATGTATGTATGTGTGTGTGCATGTTCATATGCATGTGGATGTATGTGTGTACTGGGTGCCTATGTATTTGTGCGTGAGTGAGTGATTGGGCTTGTGTGTGTATGTGGGTGTGTGTGTGTTCGCGCGCGAGCGTGCGCCCATATTTTACCACCCATGCTTTTGTTTTTGACTTCATATCCATAATATGCATATCATTACATGAACATAACATACTTCATTGATGAAATACAACTGCTGTGTGAAAGATGGAAGTTTGGAAGGGCCGAATGTAAGACAGGCCTGCGTGCCTAATTTGTAACCCTTTGAAAATAAAGTTCGTTCGTTCGTTCTTGTTTATCGATTATCCCTTTATATATTTTGAGAGACAAAATGTAGTCAAATAAATATTTCACAAATTTATTAGTGACCCTTTCAATAAAAAAAAAATTTTAACTTGTTTTTTGGGGGGAAAAGGGGGGGGGGGGGGGGGGAGAGAATGCCAACTGACATGCTTTTTAAGAAATTTGTTTCCGGGGCAAGGGGTAGTCAGTACACTGTGTTGTGGTTTACAGCTAGGCTATGATATCGACACCTTTCTGGCCAACATATCAGACTTCAGAAAACCCCTAATTAATTATTTTTTGCGGTGTGTTTGTTAGGGTGACAGTGAGTCTATTATTCCCTATTATTCCTCACCACTGTGTAGAAAGATTACATCTGATGGGTGTGTGTGTGTGATAGGAGTACAGTATTTGAGCCTCTGTGACTCATGTGTTGCGAAAGCTCCTCACACTGTGGAGGTCAATCCCTGATGCAGGCAATTTGCCAGCAGACCTTTGCTGGTTTCAACAGCAGTACCAAGAGCCGGCTGTTCAGGATGCAATTGCAAACTACTGAATGTAAATTTGTCTAGAAAAAAACTGCAGCAGCCAAAAAGTCCTGAAGAGGACGACACAACTGTTTTCTTTTTTACCACACCGTCCATCAAGTGCTAATTGGTCTAACAACACATGTATCACTGGCCGGAAAAGAGGCCTTTACTTTACCTAACTTACACCACGTACATGTAAAACACTTGTAGTCCATTTAAATTACTGAAACATAAACAAACGACAAATCAAGAGCATTTTATCTGAAGAAAGGAGTAACAACCAGGAAGGGGCAGTCAGACAGAGAAAGAAACTGCTGGATGGCCTGACAGATTGACAATCAAGATGATTGGCAATTAAAACATTCAGGATCCTCGCTGGTGCTACAGAGCCTGTGCACTGTGCTGAGCTTCTTCGGACTCAGACTTGAGTTAGAAGAAGAACCGAGCACTTATGGGTTACTACCTGTGTGCCAGGATGTTGATCCGTTGTTCAAAACTTCAAACATCAAGGTCATGCTCTCCACAGGCAGCAGAAAGATTCCAAATCTGGCCAGCTGGCATTCTGGTAGCAACCAAGCAGTGGAGTCACAGCCCTCGTAGAGGGAGAATGTAAACAAGGAAGAAAGACTTATCAAGAAAATAGAGGACAAATACTTGTGAAGAAATCTGGTCCCCAGTGCCTGGCACAGTTCAGCACATGATGATGATCTTACCTCCATGGCCATCAAAAACGCCAAAGAAGCATGCATCTTTATCCCCAGGCAAACTCAACAAATGGCTGTGAGCATCCTCCATATCTTGTCCATGGTCAAGGAAACATTTTTCTTCAAACGTGAGCAATCTCCAAAATAAACGGTGGCTAGAGTGTATCCACTGATGTCTTTATGAATCTTCTTCTTCGCATTCACCAGTTGTAAACCTCTGGTTGCTCATCCCCCTCTGGACATTACACTTATTCTAAAACCTGAGTGTTGCGTGCACATCCATTTTACGAATCTCACTTATTTTTATGCAGACTGTTGGTTCCTTGCCTAACAGGCAGATGCACTTTGAAAGAAACCCCCAATTGGTGAACTCTAACGACATGCTTGTTTGGGAGGCAGTGGGTCTATTCTTGTTTTCCCCATAATGGGGCAGATGAAGCCACACAGGAAATTATTTGGGAATATTATGTCATCCAACCTCTTCTATGGTGTGACACTCGTACAAGTGTTTGAAAACTCTAAGAGCAGTGGGTTTTTTCATCAACCCCCAAATCTTAGAAGCAGGATTTCTGGCCAAAATTACTGACTGACTGGTCATGCCCAAAAAGTTATTTGTTTTCAGCCAGGTTTTGCTTGTGCGAATTTACCATTTCTGGACCAGGAATCCAAAGGTTCCATCGTCCAGCTACTAAGGTGAGTGCTTGTATGATGCTGCCTGCTATGGATTTAATGTGGAATATTGATCTCTGTTACGCACCTGGCGTGTTGTTGACTGCACTAAAATTGGCGGGTGGGAAATTGTGTCCAGAATAGCGTGTACTTTTACAGGTACAATGTCGGGCATTCGTGACTGATGATCTGCACCAACAATGAGGTGCAATTCTGGTGTGGGACCTTTAAAATTGGCATATATGAAAGCTGCCTTTAGCATTTATACTTTGTGTGTGCAAGATTCAAGCTGCTGAGACTGACAAGTTTTTCACTAGTTTACAAGTGGGATAGTACAGAACATTTTGTGCAATTGGTACAAGAACAAAGCTGTTATGGGCTGGCACATCTGCAGAGATATTGGAACCTCGCCTAATGTTTCAGCATCAAATTTGTGTCTTAGATGTTGTGAAAAGACAGGAAACTTTAGAAGCCTTGATGATGCAGTGACTTGCATGCTTGTTCCCTGGTCACATGCTGAATACTCACCAAAGTTGACATTTTTTGGGCAGGTCTTAGGCTGACACAGCCAAACATGAGTACCAGGAAATATTCTGAGAAGTAAAGGTGGCTGGTATGATACTTATAATACACCCCTTAGCTGAGAGATGATGTCTAAAAATATAAGCTAGCATCATATACCCAATTCATTCACTCCATGGCATGAACAGTTCTGTTATCTTCTGCTACCTCAGCAGGATCACCACCATCAGATCATGTGCAGTGCCTGTAAACTGTCATGTTTCGCTATCTCACACGATCACCATCATCCAGGATCAGTTCAATGTTTTTGTCTCGCCCCATCCATCTGGCCAGACCATCCAGGTGTTTTCCTGTGCCTTTCTCCTACTCTCTTTTCAACAATCTTGCCAGCTGTTATCAAGTTCTCTAGTCCATACCTTCCCATAAATGTCCACACACAAACAAAGACTAACTGTTCTCTGAGTTTTCTTTTTTTTCCCAGGTTTTTAGACGAAGGATCAAGATTATGTCACACGGAGTAGTAACCCATAAGTGCCCTGTTCTTCTTCTAACTCAAGTCTGAGTCCGAAGAAGCTCAGCACAGTGCACAAGCTCTGTAGCACTGGCGAGGATCCTGGAATACTTTGGGTAGATTTTCAACTTCGAATTTTGCTTGGGCAGCGCCGTTAGGCTACTATTTCCTATTTACAACTGCCAAGGGATTTTTTTTACATGCACAGCTAACCTATCTGTCTCAATGAGGACTGCCGTGTTTGATTCTCTACCCTTCAATAATATTCTTTACATTTTTCTCAAAAACCACATCTCTGCTGCGAGCAAATGTTTTTCAGCTTGTTTACTTATTGTCCATGTTTCACTTGCATATAACAAAACAGGTTCTATATAACATTCTTTTCTTTCACTGCAACTGACATCTTCATGTTAGTGAGAGTCGTCTGCATCTTACTAAAGGTCACTTTTTGCCATGGCTACTCTCCCAGATGCCCCTCCCCCACTGTTGCCACTGAACACACTACTACTGATTGTTAAGTTACCACAAGCAGGGAAACTAATACAGGGCTTCAGTTGCAATGTGCATAAATCTTCTTCTGCGCATTCACCGGCTGTAAACTATGACAGAACCCGAGTACTGCCTGCACTTCCGTTTTACAGATCTGACTTATCTGTATGCAGACTGTCGGTTCCTTGCCTCTCAGGTAGATGCACTCCAACTATGAAGGAAGCCCCCAATTAGTCTCCTCTAACAACATGCTTGTTGGGGATGCAGTGGGTGTATCCCCCCCCCCCTGTGGGACCCAGGAACCCGCAAGGGAAACGTTCATAAATGATATCCAGCTAACCTTATTTACAGGTACTGGCAGATACACATAATAAACTATGGCCAGAACAAAATACAATTCGGCCCAAAAAAATTATGCCGCGAGTTAAACAAAGAAAAAGGATACTGATTCTCCATCCTTGCATGCAGGAGGAGCCGACTTTGAAGGAACTGTTCTCATGTTTGGATGAGTATTTAGTGGTCACTGGTTCAGACAAAGTCTGACCCATTGCTGAAACAAAAAGACACAAAGCAGTTAACCGTTTAGCCTTTAGACGACATTGCAGACCAACCCCAGCATTTCTTGGCTGTTGGCCTGGGACTGTTTACTGTCTCAAAGAGTCAGATAGACAAACTAGAGCGCATACAGAACGCAGCTATGCGGGTTGTTCTGGGTTGCATCAGAGACACCCCCAGTGGTGTGTATGCGATACATTCTTGGTTTGCCGACTGTTGCAGGTGGGCACAAGGTGCTGCAGGTGAAGTCATATCTCAAGGTAGCCGCAGACATAAACCAATCTTTGCACGAAGCTCTGGGTGCAGTTAAAGAGTCAGAGGCTGATAAAGGGGACGTCATGGATGACTCAGGCAGAAGACACAATCAGACAGGTTTGCATCCTTGAGGACATTAGGCGAGGAGAGGAGTGGGTCAAAGTGCCACCTGAAAGTCAGACCTGTGTAGGATCATAATCACACCGAAGCGGGAACGCAGAAACTGGCCAGCAGGTGCCACGGAGATGGAAATTCAGCAATTAATTCAAGATAACGCTCGCTCAGAGGATTTGATCATTTACACAGAAGGTTCAGTGTCAAGAGGCAAAAGAAGTGCTTAGGCCTTCTCAGCAAAAGTTAATGGTTGACGATTGGTGCAGGAGAGCCTAGCATGTGATACCACAACATCCAGCATGAGAATGGAGGCATTCACTGCAGCTTTCCGCTGGTTAGAGAACGACGCACACACACATCGTGATTGCAACTGACTTAGAAAGCTGATAGGCATTCTTCATGAAGAGTGGCAAGCTTTGCTGCGGAGGACACGGGTGAATAGATACCTGACAGTATTGTTCTTGTTTGTTACAATCGCACTGGATTTCTCCTCTCCTCTATACAGAAATTATAAATCACGGATTCACTGTGTGGGTTCCAGGGCCCCACTGTGTGGGTTCCAGGGCTCCACTGTGTGGGTTCCAGGGCCCCACTGTGTGGGTTCCAGGGCCCCACTGTGTGGGTTCCAGGGCCCCACTGTGTGGGTTCCAGGACTTCACTGTGTGGGTTCCAGGGCTCCACTGTGTGGGTTCCAGGGCCCCACTGTGTGGGTTCCAGGGCTCCACTGTGTGGGTTCCAGGGCTCCACTGTGTGGGCTCCAGGGCTCCACTGTGTGGGCTCCAGGGCACTACTGTGTGGGTTCCAGGGCCCCACTGTGTGGGTTCCAGGGCTCCACTGTGTGGGTTCCAGGGCTCCACTGTGTGGGTTCCAGGGCTCCACTGTGTGGGTTCCAGGGCCCCACTGTGTGGGTTCCAGGGCTCCACTGTGTGGGTTCCAGGGCTCCACTGTGTGGGTTCCAGGGCTCCACTGTGTGGGTTCCAGGGCTCCACTGTGTGAGTTCCAGGGCTCTACTGTGTGGGTTCCAGAGCCCTACTGTGTGGGTTCCAGGGCTCCACTGTGTGGGTTCCAGGGCCCCACTGTGTGGGTTCCAGGGCTCCACTGTGTGGGTTCCAGGGCTCCACTGTGTGAGTTCCAGGGCTCTACTGTGTGGGTTCCAGGGCCCTACTGTGTGGGTTCCAGGGCCCCACTGTGGAAGAAAAAAGAATAGATCCACTGCCTCCCTAACAAGCATGTCATAAAAGTCGACTAATTAGGAATCAACAGTCTGGGCACAAATAAGTCAGATTTGTAAAACGGATGTGCATGCACATAAAAAAATTTAGTTCTGAAACAAGACTAAAGTCAGGAAGTGGATGAACAACCAGAACTTTCCTCTGGAGTTTACAGCCGGTGAATGTGAAGAAGAAGAGGAAGAATGGGGGAATCTCCAAGACAAAGTAGTTAAGTTATCTGCCTCATGCTCTGAAAGTTGTGGACTTCATTCTTTGGACTCAGAGAGCAGGTTTTTTCAAAATTTCTCAACATTGTGAAGCTACAGAAGCTTTCCTTTGTGTGTTGTAACACTTTTGCCAGTAGCCAGCTGCTCTGCTGAAAGAGGCCAAACCAACCAAGATGAAACCCAGCGCCATGAAACCAAACCTCTTCCATGCATACACTGACCAATTAATCTACAAATCAGTTTGTCCCCTCTGGACTGCTGTCTAAAAGTTTACCATCTCTTCACTTCTGCCTTTCTAACCCCCAATGGAGCATAGGCCCTCACCCAACTCACACTAAGCCATACTATCCTTTGCTATCGCATGCAGCTCTCCCCATGCCCTCCTCATTTTTTTTAACTTTACCCTCTAGCTCCCTTCTCTATGCGTTTTTGGTCTGCCTTTATTTCTTTGCCCCTGTGGGTTCCAATGCAAAGACATTCTTATTATACTGCTCTCAGGTTTTCTCAATGTGTATCCTATCCAACACCAGAGTCCTTTCTTCACCTCTTGGTCCACTGGAACTTGTTTAGTTCTCTCTTGAAGCACCACATTAGTGATTCTATTATATCATTAGGTTTCCTCTACTCTACGCAGACCCCAGTTAATGAATGCCTGTAGTTTATTAGTAACTGCCTCAGTTGTTCTCCATGTTTCTGCTCCATACAACAGTACAGATTACAGAGATACCAACCAGGTGCAACCTGCAGTCATGTATGGGCACAGACTTTGACGCATTCAAACACCCTTCTTAATAAAGAGGTTATACAGATTATCAATAGACACTTTTTACATAAACACACCTTCCCTTTTTACAATCACACCTGTACTGCACAAATGCTGCTGACGTTAATCTTATGACTAGAACAGAATTATAACTCAAGGATCTCTTCAGTGAGATACAAGCGATCCCCAGATCTTATGGAGTGAAGACTGGACTAGAAAAAGGAAGAAAAATGCAAGTGAACAGCTAGAAGAAACGAGCACAGCCAAGATTGAAATAAATGTATAAATGCTAAAAATCATATATTTAAATAACTAGGGTCCGCTGTATAAAGTAATTACAAAAACTGGTTTATATCATCACATTGACACTGGGTCGCCTATTGGCTGGCTGGTAGACGACATGGTCACTTTTTCGCTGGTGGGGACAGTATTTCCTTTGATCTCGGTAGGTCGCATCATCAACACTGCAGGGGTCCTGTTCAGTTACCTTGGTGGCGAAAAATGTAACAGCCATTTTATATGGCGCTTAGCTACCGTATGCTTTTAATGCGTGTGTATGCTAGTACATATGCTGAGACAGCAGTCTGTCAATCTCTCCACAAGGGACTGTGACGAACATTCTTGTGTTTTTCGTTGGCACCGGAACGGAGCAACTATGAAGCTATGATTATAACCTAAAGTCCCCACCCCCTCTCCCCTTTTTCGGGGATGCTGGATGAAGTGACGATTTTACCCAGCCAAGCACTGAATTGGCTTATGTCTAACCAAAGTTTCCATGTGTTCTCGAAAAATACAAGTTTACATGGTATAAAACAAGGTCTCCACAGCATAAACTTACTAGGTTCACATACAGAGCTAGGTTATCATGGTGTAAAACTAGGTTATCATGGTGTACAACTAGGTTATCATGGTGTAAAACTAGATTTATATGGTATAAAACAGGTACATAATACAACCAGATTTACTCAGCACCAGCTCAAATGTGTAATATTAGTTCATTCTGTATACATTATGTTCACACAGTATAAATCTAGATGCAAAGTTTTGCCCTATAAGCCTATCCGTTTATACGGTTGCAGACTATTAGGCCCAAGTGTGATCAATCCCACTTCATGTGGTAAAACAACACAGACTCGCGGAACTAAAAAAAACCACAAACTCCAGCAAGATATAAAAACACATGTGCCCCATCTCAAACCCCACCAGAACGGCAGTAGTATATTTTTACTGTGGTCACGGCTACACACACTTCACAAATGCACATACATTTTTTTGTTCATATACACACAACTGTATGTCCACTTGTTTGGGTAACACAGATTCCAACTGTCACTATTCACCATATATACATACATTCCCTCCTTGCAAACACATGTTATGCACAAAATAAAATAAACCCTCGGTAAACAATTTTTTTAAAGTGTATGTGTAACAGTTTATTGATTACATCACGTTTTTGTAGTTTCTTTTTTTTTTTTAAATGTCTGTGCTTACATTGATTTTTACATGCTCTTTTCCCATCTCGCGACAGCTTCATTCGGGCGACAGTCTCATTCGGCAGATCTAATCACCCAGAGGACCAAAAATCAATGCAGGCTTGCTGTAAAACCACTATTATTTTTTCCAAGGCCTTTGATTAGTCTAAGCTTTTACCGAAACCATTTCCGCAGGCAATGTTTGTTAAGTTTTAATGTACTCAAATATCACACAATTGTCCACATAAAAAGGGGGGGGGGGGTGGAGGGGGTCATAACCTATTTAAGATAAACTGCTGTATTTTACTTGTGGGTGCTTTATGAATATCCTACCTCCCAGATGACGTTACAGGACAGTCTAACATTTTAGATATATGTATATTCCTTAGATTTTCCAATTTTTATTACTTTGTAATTATTGTCTTAGGCTTTTATTTATCCAACTTATTGTCGCTAATTAAAACTAAATAAAATAATCAGCTTAATATGCGTCAACTTCCCACCTTTCGTTAACTCAAATATGTGTTAAAGATTAACTTTTGTGATTTTAAAATATATATATTTATATATTCCTGCAATTTTAAAATTTTATATAGCTTCTTTGATATAATTGTGTGTGTAGTGGGGGAAAAAAAAGGGGGGGGGGGGGATTGGGAATGCTATTTATTTTAATTTTATCCCCCCAAAAATGTCACTAATGTATAGTTAATTTATTCTAAAAACCCTTTTAAATGAAGGTTGGGGGTGCAGGGGTGCTGTCCATATTGTATACATCACAGGAGGCATACTTTTCTCTCTCTCCGTCCTGTTCATGCAACCAGCTGTTTGCTCCTTCTTTATTATTTACTTCACCACAAATTACTAATGATTAAATCTGGTGTCTTGTTTGGAATTAATACAGCCAACCCGTGGTACAATTGATATCTTGACTATCTATATATTTTGCCA